TCAAATATAATTACATTTTAAAGTGGAAATAAAGGTAGTAAGGAAAAGAGGGAGGAGTCTTTTCTGGCTTCTACAATAAAGAAATATAATTTCATTGCTTTAAAGTACTATAATAACAGAACTGAAGAGTATAAAAAATGAATAAAGTGGGGCCAGGCATGGTGGCTCATGCCTGTAATCCCAGCACTTTGGGAGGCTGAGGCAGGTGGGTCACAAGGTCAGCAGTTTAAGACCATCCTGGTCAACACGGTGAAACCCCATCTCTACTAAAAATACAAAAATTAGCTGGGCATGATGGCGGGTGCCTGCAATCCCAGCTACTCAGGAGGCTGAGGCAGGAGAATCACTTGAAACTGGAAGGTGGAGGTTGTGGTGAGCTGAGATCGCACCACTGCACTCTAGCCTGAGCGAAAGAGTGAAACTTCGTCTCAAACAAAACAAAAGAGAAAGAATAAAATGAAATAAATTTTTAAAAAACCACGATTTAGAAAAGGTTATCATGTTGCTAATATATGCATTTACAACCAATATGCTTATTTTTAACTTTTGCTTAATTAATTATTGTAACTTCTAAAGCAGTAGGTTCAAATCAATTGCTGTTTAACTGGATGACGCTGTTAAAAAACGCATTGCTCCAAATCGGAATTCTTACATGTTGTCAGTGGGAGCATAAATTGGTATAACCACTTTGGAAAACCGTTTGGCAGTATCAGCTAAATCTCATTGTATATACAGCCTATCATCCAACAATTCCACTCCTAAGAGAAAGTGATACCTTCCTGTGGTAGAAAACTTGGAAGTAGAGAAAAGCACGGAGAATAAAAATAAACTGTCATCCTAGTATTGAGATAATCATCATTATTATTATTATGATTTTTTTGAGATGGAGTTTTGCTCGTATTGCCCAGGCTGGAGTACAATGGTGCGATCTTGGCTCACTGCGACCTCCGCCTCCCGGGTTCAAGTGATTCTCTTGCTTCAGACTCCCAAGTAGCTGGGATTACAGGTGCCCGCCACAACGCCTAATTGTTATACTTTTAGTAGAGATGGGGTTTCACCATGTTGGTCAGGCTGGTCTCGAACTCCTGATCTCAGGTGATCCACCCGCCTCGGCCTCCCAAAGTGCTGGGATTACAGGTGTGAGCTACCATGCCTGGCTGATATGATCATTATTAATGTTTGTGAAGAGAATCTTACTTTACACACTTACTTTTATACTAGGCTTACTTTATACAATAATATATTATAAATATATTTCCATGTAACAGATATTTTTCAACTTCTTTTTTCTTTTTAGAAAAGACAGGGTCTCACTCTGTTGCCCAGGTTGGTGTGCAGTGGCACTCAAAGCTCACTGCAACCTCGACCTCCTGGGCTCAACTGATCCTTCTGCCTTGGCCTCTTAAGCAGTTGGGACTATAGGCCTGTACCAGCACGTTTGGTTATCCTTTGTTTTTATTTATTTTAATTTATAAAGAAAAGAGTTTTAATTGACTTACAGTTCTTCAAGCTGTACAAGCATGGCTCCAGCATCCGCTTCTGGGTGAGGGCCTCGGGAAGCTTCCACGTGAGCTACCATGCCCGTCTTCATGGTGGAAGACAAAGAGAGAGCAGGCAGTGTCACATGGCAAGAGTGGGAGAAGGAGACAGCCCCTTTACCTTTAGTAAGACTTATTTCCTCAAAACAATGGGTCTGTTTCACTCCCAGAGGACATAATGGATATGAATGAAATTCATATTTGTAGAGAGGGAACTAACATTAAGTGCCTATCATGTATTAGGCATTGTGTTAGACACTTTGCTATGCTAATTTATGTCATCCTATAACGACCTTAACAAAGTAGATATTATTTTCTTCATTTTATAAGTTGAAGAAATTGAAGATCATTCAAATTATGTGCCTTTCCTTTCCTGCCTTGATTTTACTTTAACCTGCTCCTTTTGAAGTCTTCTCCAACTTTGTTATAGCAGTTCCATCCTTACGCTGCCCAGGTCAAAAGCCTCAGAGTCCTCCTTATCTCCTTTCCTTCATACCCCACATTCAATTTGAGGAAACCATCATCTTATCATCTCCACTACTATTTCTCTGGTCCACATCTCTATCTTCTTGCCCCTCGATTATTATTATCTTTTTTTGAGATGGAGTCTTGCTCTGTTGCCCTGGAGTGCAGTGGTGCGATCTTGGCTCACTGCAGCCTCCACTCACTGTAACCTCCGTCTCCCGAGTTCAAGCCATTCTCCTGCCTTAGCCTCCTGAGTAGCTGGAACTACAGGCGCGCGCCACCACACCCAGCTAATTTTTTGTATTTTTAGTAGAGACAGGGTTTCACCATGTTAGCCAGGATGATCTTGATCTCCTCACCTCATGATCCGCCCATCTCGGCCTCCCAAAGTGCTGGAATTACAGGCGTGAGCGACCGCACCCTGCTGACCCTAGATTACTTTAGTAGCCTCTTAACCAGTCTCTGTGCTTCTACCCTTACATCCTACTGTTTATTCTTAACCCAGCAGTCAAAGTGATCCAATCACAATGTCAGAAAATGTCACTTTTCTACACAAAATCCTCCAATGGCTCTAACCAACTCACTCAGAGTAAAAGCTTTACCTGATCTGCATCACCCCCACCTTTCACTTCTCTGACTTCATCTTCTCCATTCTTTCATGGCACCTTCTGGCCTGCCTCAGGACCTTTGCATTTGCTGTGCTTTCTGCCTGGGAAGTTGTTTGCTCAGATATCCCTATCTTCCTTCAAGTCTTTCCTCAAATGTTACCTCCTCCAGAAGCTTTCCTTGATCACCACCCACCTTTGAACATAGCACCCCTCATACTTTTTATGTACCCTCTCTGCTTAATTTTTATCCACAGCATTTCTTTCTTTCTTTCTTTCAAGACAGGGTCTCACTCTGTCGCCCAGGCCAGAGTGCAGTGGACTCAAGCAATCCTCCCACCTCAGCCTCCTGGATAGCTAGGACTACAAGTGCATGCCACCACGCCTGGCTAATTTTTAAACTTTTTGTAGATAGGGGGTCTTGCTATGTTGCCCAGGCTGGGTCTCCAACTTCTGGCCTCAACAGATCCTCCTCCTTTGGCCTCCCAAGCTGCTGGGATTACAGGCATGAGACAACACTCCTGGCCTCTCCATAACATTTCTAGTAATACAGCAGTCCATATATTGTCCTTATACATTTACCATCTGTCTTTCCCACCTGGAAGAGGTAAGCTCTACGAGGGCTGGAGTTGTTGTTTGTGCTCTCTGCAGTGTCTTTAACTCCTAAATGCGTGCCTAGCATGCAAAAGGCACTCAGTATATATTTGTTGAGTAAATGAATGCTTCCCCCACATTCCAACTGTTACAGCAGGCCAAGGGGACCTGTTGTGCAGAACCTCACAGCTTTCAACTCTGAGCTCTATCTTCCTTGTTCTTTCCCAGCTTTTACTTAGGAGCCACTTCTTGACGGCGCTTGTCACAGGTGAAAGGCTGGTGAATCTGGAGAGATACTTGTGGCAAGTACCTGGCGTTCCTGCTGTCATCCACAAGCGCAGTAGTGGTGGTAGACAGTTAGAGAAGAAAGTGTAAAGTTTGCATCCTCCAATTATCACGGTTGCAAGACAGAACTTGAAACTAGATACACCTGATTCTGGTTATCTCTGGATGCCATTCACTGAGAATGAAGGGAAGAAGGTACTTCCTCCAACGTAGAATCTGATGAGGTGCCAGCAGGCTGCTGCTGCGGTGGAAAACTGTCACATCCGCCTTTGCAAACTGGTGTGGCCCCAGCTGCTTGGACTGAGGCTCACCGCAGGTTTCAGCCACTTCAACCGCAGGGCTATGAACATGCCAAGAGAGCCATTAACCAAGTTTCTCATTCCTCCTCCGGGATTTAAAGTCCTGAAAGCAGAACCTTCACTTCGCCACCCAGGCATGCAAGAGGCGTGGGAGACGGAGAAATGGGGAAGCGAGGCGGCGCTGCCCAGCTTGGCAATGGCACAGCTGTGGTCTCTGATGCAAAGGCAGGCAGCCGCGCAGGGCCAGGCCCGGGTGGGAAAACTGGGCTCTGGGAAGGATATCGGGGCATCCGGCAGTGCCCAAAGCCACCATCTCAAGCGTGGTAGTGGGGAAATGGATGCTGCACCTGCTCTCTCATCTTGCGGTGAATCGTGATTTGGGGAAGTTTCACCTTTGTTGTAGAACTACCCACATTAGAGCCTTCATTTCTTGGGAAGGGGTTGGCGGGAGTTGCCAGTGAACGTGTGACACACACACGCACCACATACTCCCCAAACCCACAAACGACTCCAGTAACGCTATAGTTACCCTTAAAAAGCAAAACAGAACAAATCAGCAGGCCCCCTCCCTCCATCCTGGCACTTCATTAACGTCGGCCAAGGCCACATTTCCCCTGTCCACTGTAGGGGGTCTGCCAGGAGAACAACCGGCGAACGTTTGCCTCACTTGACTCAGCTCTCTTGGGACTGTATCAGCATTTTAGAATTCACACCTCAAGGAAGGAGTCAGCAAAGAAAAGTAGAGCTGGGCCGGGGCGCCGGTGGCCGCCGTCAAACCTTCGGGAAGCGAGGAATCGGAAACGCCCGTGACGTGCGGCGTTGTCCGACTCCTTCCACTCGGCAGAACCGGAGAGACAAGACTTTGGCGGGACGGTGAACAACTGTGCTGTGTACGGCGGTGTGCGTGCGCGAGTAAACGGTGTGTAGCTCCGACCAAACGCTAGCCCCCAAGGGCGCGAGTGCTCCACTGCGCCCAGCTCAAGTTTCGGTGGCAACTTTCTCTCAGAGGCTCCTCCTCCTTCACCTTGGAAACCGGCGCAGGCCGTGCGGCGCGGAGCTGCCTGAGTCCCCGGCGCACCTGGCGGCGGCGTGGCCCAGCGGCAGGGGCGGGGCCGGCGGCGGCGGGGGCGGGAACGGGGCGCTCTCCCCGAGGCCTCCCGGCAGGTTGGGCCCCACCCCGGCCCCTGCCCCGCCCCGGCCCCCGCCCCCGCCCCTCCCGCGCTCACTAGGGAGAGGCGTTGGGGAGCTCATGACCCACGCGGCTCAGCCAGTGGCTGACGCACCCTCGAAAAGTTGCGCTCCGACCTTCTCACGACCTACATTCTTCCCGGGCACTCCTGAGTTTGAGCTGGACCCGGAGGACCTGGGCCAAGACTTTCCAGCGGCGGCCGCCCCTGGGGCGAGAAGCCGGCCCCGCTTTCCTGACGGGGTCCAGCGCAGGCGTCCCCGGGACCGCAGCGCAAACTTTCTGGACTGTCTGAGGACGCTTGTCCAGCGAGCGCCACTGCTCGGGGAGGAGGAGCCACGGTCGGGGACAGGTAGGTGCTGTGATGGCCGGAGATTTGCGCTTGAGGGATTCTTTTATTTTAGGGGGTTGAAGGAGGAGGGAGACCCGAAATGTCCCTTCTCTGCGTCCGCCAGCTGGGCAGGGGGAGCAGTCATTGGGCTGGCGGGAGGCTGGGAACGTTCCAAACGAGGTCGCTGCGTCGGGCCGGGGCGCCGAGGGGAGGAGGTGACTCCCAGGGTTTCGGGCTCCGGGACGGGGCGTTACGCGGTGACTGACCCTGGGATAGAGAGAGCCAGCTTGTTTTGACGAAGGAAGATGTCATCAGGGCCCTCCATCCCATTCATTGGTCCCTGGGTCCTCTGGGAGGTACAGGCAAAGGCAAAGAGATGTGCAGTTCAGGTTTCCCTTGTAAATCACCTTGCTTGCATAGGAGACAGAGGCGGTGCCCCTCTGAGGGTTGCAGCCCTTTCCTGGTGTAAGGACTTACTTGTTGGGTAGCTGTTGCTCAATTTCGTAAATTCTCTGATGAAACTCCGTTCAAGTCGTGGTTGTTATTGATAGTGTGTGTGTGTGTTTGTGTTTCCTCTGGCTCAACAAAGGTCCCTTGTTAACTCCACTTCTGCTAGGGAGTGGGAGGAACTACCTGCTGTCTTATTTCAGGCCTGGTCAGAGCGAGGTATTGGTGCAGGCGGCGGTAACCTTGTTGGCTTGGGACTTTGGGAATCATATGAGCAGGTTTGGTGAATTAGCCCAGTTCTGTCCCAGCCTCCCTGACCCACCCATTCACAGCAGATCCAGCTTCCGCTGTTCAGCAGATGCTACAGCCCCAGCCATCCAGGGACAGGGAAACCCTCCTGAAGGGAAAGAGCCAAATATTGAGAAGGTGAGACAGCTCTCAGGAGGAGGAGTAAACAGTGCGTACTAGTTGTTGCTTCCCTATAGATAGGGCTTGCTCCCTTGGCTTCTCTGGAAGGGCTGTGCTATCAGATTCATCTCGTTAGGAAGTCAGCTGCTCCCTGCTAATAGCCATAGCAGCCCTGATGAAATTATATAGGTCATTGAAAAATAATTCCTGGTTAATCACCTTTATCCTGTTGATTAATGAGAGGAAAGATTTCCTCTCCTTAATGTACCATGCCTGCTTGTCAGGGTCACCTGCTTGACCTCAAGTTCACTTGTACACCTGGCACTAGGCAGGATGCTGTCCCCGAAGCTGTCCACATGTAGTGAACCACAGCTGAAGTCCACATTTGGAGAACTTCAAAGGTCTTCTTTGGACAGAAATTGAACAGGAGATTTAGTCCACAAATTCACTCTGTAATGCAGCATACTTGTTGGCTTTAGGTAACTTTTCTCATAATTAAAGGTTGATATCTTTTTAGCTTCAGTTAATCCCTTTCCGCAGAGCTCATAGAATTATGTCCTTGCCTGTCTTGAAATAAATTAAGTTTAGAGTCCTATTTATCATTTGTCCTATAGGACAAGGAACAGGATTAAACTGTGGGGGGTGGCTGGAAAGGGTCAGAGAAACTGGACATCACTGAAGGGGATTCAGAGAGTGATTGAGAGTGGCCTAAAAATTTAGGTCCAACTGCCCGGCTACCTTTTTTCTTGGCTCTCATATAGAGACTTTATGTAGAACTTTTAATGGAGGACTTGAAGACTAGAAATAAAAGGAGTGTTTTATTTTTACAGAGTCAGAGTAATGTATTGCTGGACAGTTCTGTACTCGGCCTCCCAAGATTGGGTCAAAATACCTTCTTTGCTAAGTTCTTTCTTTAATAGGAACTTGATAAATAATGAGTGCAAACAAGAAGCAGATGTACAAATATGTTGTGTAGAGTGAAATTTTCTTTCCTTCCTTCCTTCCTTCCTTCCTTCCTTCCTTCCTTTTCTTTTCTTTTCTTTTTCTTTCTTTTCTTTTCTTTTGTTTTCTTTCTCTCCTTTTTTTTTTTTGTTTAAAGTTAGGGTCTTTTTTTTTTTTTTTTTTTAAAGTTAGGGTCTCTCTCTGGCCCAGGCTAGAGTTCAGTGGCATAGTCTCGGCTCCCTGCAGCCTCGATATCCTGGGCTCAAGCAATCCTCCCACCTTAGCCTCCTAAGTAGCTGGGACCACAGGTTCATGCCACCACACTCTGTTAATTTTTTGTATTTTTCATACAGAGAGGGTTTTGCCACGTTTCCCAGGCTGCCCTTGAGCTCCTGGACTCAAGCAATCCACCTGCCTTGGTCTCCCAAAGTGCTGGGATTACAGGTGTGAGCCACCATGCCTGGCCTCTTGTATTACTTTCATAAAGAAAATTTAATAAGGAACCTCCTTTCTCCCTGCAAATATAAAGCAAAATTACCTTATTTAATCTGTTTAGACACTTGATCTTTATTCTGTGTACATTTGTCTCCTAGGATGATACATAGGCCCATTGAAGATCTGGATCAGATTCTGCCGTTGAAACACAATTTAGTTCTACTTCATCCTTATTTTTAGCAACTTCCAACCCTTGATTTTTAGCCCAGGTAGGGCAGCAGTGCTCAATAGTGACAAGAAACTCCAGGGACTTCATTTATAGGGATCTCTTAATGAAGACGATTACAGAAGCGAACAGTTCTGTAGTGCTTTATGTTTCACAGAGTGCTTTCATGTACCATGTTTGTGCCTTGTGATTTAACCATTTTGTAGTAGATGCCCTTGTATTTAGATTACATGGGAGGAAAGCAGATGAGGCTCAGAGATAATAAGGGACTTTTTTGAGATGGAGTTTCGCTCTTGTTGCCCAGGCTGGAGTACAATGGCGTGATCTCAGCTCATTGCAACCTCTGCCTCCCAGTTCAAGTGATTTACCTACTTCAGTCTCCTGAGTAGCTGGTATTACAGGTACCCACCACCATGCCCAGCTAATTTTTTTTTTGTATTTTTAGTAGAGACGGTGTTTCACCATGTTGGCCAGGTTGGTATCAAACTCCTGACTTCAGGTGATCCACTCACCTAGGCCTCTCAAAGTGCTAGGATTACAGGCGTGAGCCACCGTGTTCGGCTGGTAATAAGGGACTTTTATGTGCATACTTTGCTTCTGTATATTGTGGACTCAGACCTGAATTCAGGATTTCTGATTTACAGGCCATGCTTTCACTTTTTTCCCTGTTACATTTTGTGAAGTGGTTGGATGTGAAATGTGCTCTTCCTTCTTTCCTTCTTTCTCTTCTCTTCTTTTCTCTTTTCTCTTCTCTTCTCTTTCCTTTCTTTCTTTTCTTTCCTTCCTTTCTTTCTTTCCTTTCCTTCCTATCCTTCCTTTCCTTCGTTTCCTTCCCTTCCTTCCCTTCTTTTCTTTTCTTTTCTTTTCTTTCTTTTGACAGAGTTTTGCTCTTGTTGCCTAGGCCGGAGTGCAATGGCACGATCTCAGCTCACTGCAACCTCCACCTCCCACTTTCAAGCAATTCTCCTGCCTCAGCCTCCTGAGTAGGTGGGATTACAGGCATGCACCACCACACCTGGCTAATTTTGTATTTTTAGTAGAGATGGGGTTCCTCCATGTTGGTCAGGCTGGTCTCAAACTCCCGACCTTAGGTGATCCACCTGCCTTGGCCTCCCAAAGTGCTGAGATTACAGACGTGAGCTACCGTGCCTGGCCCTCTTATTTCTATTAATCAAAATATGAGCTCATGTGGAGACAGGATGACAGGACTATATATGAATATGTGCATATATGTGTGTGTATAACTGTGTGTACACATATAACATATAGTCTGTATAGCCTTAGCATCTCGACAGTATAGCTGTACAATAAAATTGAAGTAACCTCCATTAAGTTTGGAAGGGAAATCTTGGAAAGTGGCATAGGTGAATAAATACCCTGATAGATTGAATAAGGAATTTTGGCAATGTCTAAAATTGAAAAACTCTGTAAATAGCAGTTTAAGTGCATGATTTACAAATATAGAAGTAATTACCAGAAGAAATAGCTAGAAGAGTTGAAGCACCTTCTTTTGGGGAATGAAACTCAGGGGTGAGGAGGAGCCAGGCAGAAATCTGCTGTTTTTGGCTATGTACCTTATAATATTAGATCACATTTTATACTGTGTACATATGTATTACTTTATTTTACTTTATTTATTTTTTGAGGCAGAGTCTCGCTCTGTTGCCCAGGCTGGAGTGCAGTGGCATGATCTCAGCTTGCTGCAACCTCCGCCTCCTGGGTTCAAGCCATTCTCCTGCCTCAGCCTTCCAAGTAGCTGGGACTATAGGCACGCACCACAATGCTCGGCTATTTTTTGTATTTTTAGTGGAGATGGGGTTTCACCATGTTGGCCAGGCTGGTCTCCAATTCCTGGCCTCAAGTGATCCGCCTGCCTGAGTCTCCCAAAGAGCTGGGATTACAGAGTGAGCCACCGCTCCTGGCCTCTTATGTATTACTTTAAAAAAAAAAGCCCTTTGGCAGGGATGGAGCGAAGGTCTTTTGTCAGAATTTTAGAGCCAAAAAGGACCACAAAGATTATTTATTCCCAGTTCTTCCATTTTACAGGTGAGGAAATTGAGATATAGGAATTTAAATGTTTTGGTCATGGTCACATAACTGTAGAAACAAACCTCTTCCAGACAAGGTCACACCTTTTCCCAGGCAGGTAGAAAGTTTTACCTTGCTAGTGATTCTTCAATTTCCTTTCTAGGCAATTATTTCACCTTCTATCTAGTTAGTTTTTTGTTTGTTTGTTTGTTTGTTTTTTGGAGATGGAGTCTCATTCTGTCACCCAGGCTGGAGTGCAGTGGTGCAATCTTGGCTCACTGCAACCTCCACCTCCCGGGTCCACGTGATCCTCTTGCCTTAGCCTCCTGAGTAGCTGGGACTACAGGCATGCACCACCATGCCCAGCTAAGTTTTCTATTTTTTTTTAGTAGAGATGGGATTTCACCATGTTGGCCAGGCTGGTCTCGAACTTCTGACTTTCGGTGATCCACCTGCCTTGGCCTCCCAAAGTGTTGGGGTTACAGGCATGAGCCACTGCGTCTGGCCTCTATCTACTTTTTACAGTATTTGAACA